TTTTTAATAACTTTAAAATTGATGATTAAAAATTGATTTTTCATATTTTAAAATAAAAATACTAAATAAAAGTTTATATTTTAATATTAAAAAGTGAAACATACCGTATTTAAATTACATAAATAAGACAACATAAATGAAACATTTTTTGGTAGGCATGTTAAGATAAATGATTTTTTTGGCAAAAAAAGAGAGATATTATTACTATTAAAAACCAACTACATTGTTCAAACTTTATGTACAATACACCTATTTGCACCATAAATTGTAAAATTTTAAAATAAAACCACATGTAAAATATTTTTTTTAGTGGATGGAGGAGATTAAGCTATGTCAAATTCGTGATTTTGAGCACCATGACAGATCAACTGTCATTTTGGCAAAAAAGAAAAGATAAAGATGAGATTTTACTGTGTAATTATCTCTTTGAGGTAAAAAAAAACTATTTGAGCTAAAATATAAGAGAAGATTGCATTTGAAGAAGGGTTTTATCTGGTAAGGGTACATATGGCGAAAATCTGCAAGGAGATCAAATTAAGTCAATTGGTGAGTTGTCCCATTATCTCAAGAAACCACATTGTGTACCTACAGAAAGTGGAGGTTATTGCCGGCACAAAGAGAACAAAAAGGAAATTTTGGAAGAAGAAACACATGACCTGCTCTACTTAAATATCTACAAATTTTCAGACTTAATTTTCTCTGTAAATGCTTCCAAATTTCAAATTTCAACACAGATTCCAATAAATTTAAGTTGTTTTTCATCATTCCAGTAGACAAATTAATTCATGTTTTCAATTCAACAATTTCCTTTCATGCAATGAACTTCAATCTTTCAAGTTTATGCAAGATATTGTTTTCTTTCTATTTGCAATTAATTTAATATTTATGATAAATAATATTTTATTCAATAATTACTTATGTGATGTTCACTTCTTTTCAACTTCAAGCATGTTAGTTTCATCACTATTCACATTAATTTTAATGTTAATTAGGGTAAAATCTTTAATTCTGTAGCATTTTAATTTCTAGATCTACCAATAAATAAAATTTTAATTTAACAATGAACATGTTTAATTTAATTTGGGCACATTTTATTCTCGCAAATTTATTTTAAATTGCAAGTTATTTAGTTCAATTAGAATTTGTTAATTTTAAGTCACGATAATATTTAAGTCCTTGGAGTTATAGATTTCGTAACCCATTCTGTAGGAAGGTACCCCTCCCTCTGACAGATCGTTTGTAGGCGCAAATTTCTATTTTAATCCAACGTTCTTCCCGTCATCTGCAAAGAGGTCGCCCGTGAGGAATGAGAGGGTCGTTGGGAAAGTCTTCCTTTCTTACTTTCAGCAAAGTAAGTGGCACACCCACATCCAGATTTCAGACGTGCGAGGTCACTAGAGGATTTTTGGAAAAACAACACCACAAAACAAAAACAGTAAAATCAATCAGTGAGCTCAAACAGAAAATATCATTTTCTAAGTGAGAAAATTAAATTGCTAAACTAAAGCATTGTCTGATGCTTCAATTCTACTAGAGCCTTCTATGCCCCCATGCTGCCTTGCCCTCCATTTCCCTACCACAATCAAATTAAGAAACCAATGTAAAGAAATCTTCATCACTATTTTTATAAGAATGTGCTCATGCGAATAATCCTTACTTGCAGGCATTGATGCAATCATACAGAAGTTAACTTTAAGGTTGCTTTCTCACTAACCTTTTCATGGCATCAATTCTGCTCATCTTCATAAGAATCCATTGCTTGGTAGATATTATTGAAAGCAGCCACCGCACTATAGGCAGATTTGGCTCCACATCCACCTAAAAATTTATCCAAATAAACTAAATAAGACATGATCCTTGTAGAAAAGTAGAAATAGGAAGAATCAATGATCATAGAGCCACCAAGTTGCTGCCAATAGCACAAAAACCAAAAATGGAAAAGCTTTCTGAAACGCATTAAGGACATATTTATTCATGTAAACAGAACAATCAGCAAACCATCCAAATGTTGATTGTTCATGAACATGCATCCAACCATAAAAGTTTTTTGATAGTAATATCAAGAATATTAAATCCCACCTTCATAAGGGATTGCTGCTTGTGGGTTCCAAGATAAGTATATCCATATATTGAAGCATAACTGTTGCACTAGAAAAATAGAATTATGAGCAGAGCTTAATAAAATGGACATGCCCAAGATAGTGAAGTTACAGTATGTTGGAAAAACATGATCAGTGGTGCAAAAGAAGCAAGCATGGATGATGGGTATTTCAGAATCTAAAAGGATAAAAGGACCATGAATCTCGTATACTGAATTTCCTTAATCTTATTCTAGAAAGAAAAAGTGGAAAAAATTCTAATGTTCACTATAATTAACTTGCTCGATAGGCTCCTAGGAAAAGGTTTGAGCAGAAATGCTGAGTCTTTTCTTTGGAAAGGATCACCTTTAGCCAATTTCTCACTTTTAGATGAATACCATTTGCAAAATAAAAATCACAAGTCAAGCTCTAGATTGTCAGGACATGAATGAATGGCTAACAAACCATCCAATGAAATTGAAACCAATCAACAATCACAAGTCCTGAACTCAAATTCTTGCAACCAACCTCCCCCTACCAAAAGACAAAACAAGTCATGATCAAGAAGGCATCAATTCAGTACCACAAGCAATCACTATAGTCCCAAAATCTCAAGTAAACAAAGCACTTACAAAAACCAAGTCTGCAAGTAATCTCGAACAAGAAAAAAATAAAAATTAAAAAAAAAAAAAAAACTGTCCCTCAATAATATACCAGAAATACGTCAGACAAAGAGGAAACTAGTATCAATAAAAATCCATAAAATAAAAATTCATGCCAGCTCTTGTGTATAAATCGAAATTTATAACTGTCTTGTATAGAATTCTGAGGAAACTAGCATCAAGCTACCGCTTAGAAGATGGAATACTGAAAAGCATACAAATAAGAGTAGAAAATTTAGAGAAGCAGAGAATATATTGCTTAAATTGACATTAAAAAGGTGAGAAACCTCTGACCTCACCAAATTCCGATCCCTTCACATCTCATCGACGGTTGCCACTATAATTTGGAAATCAAAACCCTGGCACAAAGGAAAAAAAATATATAGATTTGAGTGAATCAAACCAACAAAAGAAAAAAAAAGGCGAGAGAGAGAGAAAGAGAGAATCAAGCAGGCCCAATCTCCAAACCCTGATTTCCCATTGCTAGTGCTGGTGCTGTTCTTGTTCTCCATGAGATTCCAATCGATTTTCTTACATACTGTTTGGATTGGAGGTGTAGGACAGAAAGGGAGGAGAAGGGATGGGGAAGATGATAAGGGAGGGGGAGTGAGGGGAGGTTGTCTCCTGATGCAAAAGGGGAGGGAGATCGACCGATTTGGAATGCCTTTTCAACCACCCCCAAATCTGTCGATTTGCAATCTCTTGACAAGAGGAGAAGGGGCTCGTAACGTTGTGGGGCTTAGGGATTTGTCATAATTCGTGGTGTATATATCGCAGTTTTAGTTGTAAATATGTGAAAGAATTATGGGCAAAATAGGAAGATGATAATTTTCATTAAAGATGCGGAGAAGCTCATCGAAAAGCAGGAGTACTTTGCTTCTCCATTTTTCACTTCTCAAAAGCTCAAAAAACCTTTTCCTGTGCTCGAACTGTTTGACACAGCTTCTGATTCTACAACTAAGAAACACTTCTCAGCAGCTTTACCAGACACATACTAAGAAGGGTGTTTAGTGCAATTGAAACTTTTAGATTTTAAAAACACTTCTTATCAACTGCACCAAACAGGTGCATATCATTTATCGTTAAAGATAGAAAAAAAAAACACACACACACGCACTCCTGTACGTGAATAAAAAGAAAATGACAATACCAGCCAAAAAAACAAAAAGCAAAGAAAATGAGAAAATTATGTTGTCTTTATGGGAATAATATAATATTACAAAAATCCCTTCCTTTAGCCCTTTATCCCCTTCCGCTCTCCATCCACCTAGTTTAAAAATTTTATAGTAATTGCCAGTTTCAAAAAATATTTTATATATATATATACACATATACAAGAATCCTAGATATAGTCATATGAAAAACAATAATAATAATAATAATAATTAATAAATACATAAATAAATAAATAATATCAGAAGAGGCTGTTCATCCTTGCATTGCAAAATCTGGAAGAAAAGAAGATTATTTCATGTGTTTGGAGACATAAATAACTGATGCTATTTGTGAATATAAGAGTTTCAGGGTTAGTCAGTGAGTAAAATCCGATTGTTGCGTAAAACAAGTAACTAGAAAATGTAAAATGGCGCTGAACTTTGGAGAAAAGGTATGCTGCAACTGTAGGACTCCATCTCATCATGTGTAACCGAATGACTCCATCTTATCAACAAATGTGGAATTAGTTATCAAACTGGCGTCTTGTCGATGGTGAACTTTGCCAGCCACCATTGCCATTGCGTTGCACAGCATTGTTCTTGTCTGAAAAGACCCGCATTCGCTCTTCCTTCACGTGGGCAAACCGCGAGTCTAGTGTTCGAGGCTTCTGCTTAGGCACTGACTTACCCTGTTGCTCCTCATCCTGGTGCCACTGCTGGGGCTGTATTAACAAGATTGCTCTCTTGGCATCAAAACAGAATAACCGATGGAGCAATAACTCTTAACATTAACATAGGACCCCAGTCTTTGCAGTTTAAAAGCAATAAATCTCATTACATTTGTCAAACCAACCAAATGTAAAAGCTATAAAGTGACAACCAGAAAATCCATGGGTGCTCACAATGCTCAATATATGACTTCGATCTTGAATAGTTACTGGCTATTTAAACATAAAAAACACACCGAATAGCCCCCAGTCACAGGATGGAAGAAATACCTTTGCAGCAAAGTGTCCATTTGGAGACCTTCGCTGAACTGGTGGAACTCTAACCCTGCAAGATAAGTAAAACAATCAATGGATAATAGAGCAAAAACTCATGGAGCTGATTCTTTGATCAAAAATCATTATCAATGTATCAATCCAACCATTCCTTAAAAGCACATAACCCGGCAGTAAATAAGCATGTACAGGAAAATCTAGACATGAGATGAAAGTCAGAGCAATGGGAAATGGGGCTCATGAAAGAAACTACTGCCACCTTAATAATTCTACAAGAAGTGCATAGAGAAAGATATACAACCGCATCCGTTGAACTCCTAGAAACAGGACCCAAAGAACTACAGTAAAATTTAAATCAGTCTAATAAGGGGAGGGAAGCCAGGAGGACATACCACAGCCATAAGATTATCAATTGAAGAAAAGAGAACAGTCTCTTAATGCAGATTAGAAGCTTATGGAAGAGGCATAAGAATTTATAACAAGGTAGAATTCTTCACAAAGAGAAATTCCATGAAGAAACTACAAAAACCAGTAGGGGTAACCACACACTATTCAGTTGACACTTTGAGTGAAAAATCTGTTTGTCCACATCAAGCAATGAGCCAGCTAGAAGGTTAATTTTTTAAGGAACATGTTTGGCTCTTGCAGAATATTATTTCCATTATCAAACTCATATCATGTTTTTTTAAAATCCACCTCAAACAAGATTACCCCATCAACAATACTTATTTGATGCTTTGACATCTGTGCAAGTGCCAGATCACTGATACCAAATTAACTGTTACCTCATTATCAAATGATCTATGCACTGCTCAAACGATCTATGCACTGCTCAAACTATTAAATAACACCCAAAACTCATCATTCAAGCATACTATAAACTGGACTGCATGCACAGAAAAGACCAACACTTCAAACACTCCCAAATTTAGCACTTAAGAAAGAGAATCAACCATTTGGGAGTTTCAGAATAATATGCAACTTGAAATAAGTTAATCAGAAGCACATTGCAGGAGTGATCAATATTGAGAAGGCCCATGATTTACCTTAAAGAAATCAACAAAATTTGGTCATTTAATGAGATGCATCATGATTAAAAAGTAATTACATGTGCACGCCAAATAACACTGTCATTTACCTTGGAGCA